GCCGCTCCTTCGTCTCCGCCCCTCACAGCAGCTCCTCCAACAGGAGACGGGAGGAAAATGGACTACTAGCCAAACTCCTCTGAATATGTTGATTGGAGGGGGATTGATGATTCAAAGGGATTTGAGGGGATTGGGTGGAAGAGAGGGATTCACCCAATCCTCTAAAATTCCCTTCCCCTCTAGTGCTGGAAATCCCTCTATGTCAAACGAGGCCTAATGTGGTGTTAGAAAAAAGTCTTATATTATGATGCAGAGGGACTACTTCTGACCACGCAACCATAGCAAAGAACTAGCATGGATACAGAGTATTTGGGGTCAATATTCGTTTGCTGGGCATGCACACAACATACATGAGCTATTGATTAAAACCGGGGCATACTTTAGGCCGGGTCATCATTTCCGCCAGTCTTACAGAAGCCCGACCTTCATTTTTCAAGCCCGTACCTAGCCTAAAGCCTGAAATTTTGCCTGAACACAAGCCCAGCCCGGCCCAGCTTAAAAGAATGAAGCCGGTCGGCCCGAAGCCCGAGCATTCCATGGTCAACGATCGTTATGGTAATGTTCAAATCAATCTCAATGAGAACACTTTCGCAACCTGCACTTGGTAGATCTCATAAAAATCACAAGAGGCTTGTTTGGTAGCCTTCTCGAGCGAGGTTGGCTTAGCTCAGCTTGGCTCAACGGAGGCTGGTTGACGAAATGCAGGCCGAAAACTAACATTTGGATATTGTTGGGTTGCCCGCATCTAGTCCTCTCGCATTAGGGGAGCAATTTGGCATAGCGTTTGGTTGCCTGCATTGGCTCGGCTCATGCAACTACACGGTGTTTGGTTGTATATGCGGGGCATGATTAAAAGCTAACACACACACACACACACACACACACACACACACTTTGCCTCGCAACTGCAGTGGATGGTGACCGCGGCGCCATGTCCAACACGATGAGCACGAAGTCTCGGCTGAGCGTTTTTGCCGGCGCCGCGGCGAATTAGTTGTTAGCGTCGCCGCCGCAAAGAAAGTTCATGCGGAGGAGCGTTGAGGCAGAGGACAGGGAGGAGAATACAACGCGTGTCGGACCATGGCGACTGCGGTGGATGGCGGAGCGACGACACGACAAGCACGGAGTCGTGCGCGAGCGACCCCGTCGGCGACGCAACATAGTTACTAGCCTCGTCGCCGCAGAGAAAGTCCGTACAAAGACAGTATACAAAGAAGGAGAAATGCAGTGCTCGCGCCATGGCAACGTCAATGCAGTAGGACAAGAGAGAGGAGGCCGAGATGATCGAGGTCGGAAATGACTCCAGTGTAGTAGGACGAGGGCAAGAAGGTCAAGAGGAACGACCCAGCGTCCAGAGGGGCGAGTAGGAAGGCTTTGAGGCAGAGGACAGAGGAGAAGAAAAAATACAATGTGCGTCATGGTGGATCGAGGAGAGAAGGCCGAATGAATAAGGCCAACTCCACCGCGCGACCCCAAACGGGCGTCCATTTTGTCCGGATTCTGTCAGTTTGGGCAGGGGGATGGGGTCGTTGTCGGTGTCAAAACCGGCGGATCTCGGGTAGGGGGTCCCGAACTGTGCGTCTAGGCGGATGGTAACAGGAGACAAGGGACACGACGTTTTTACCCAGGTTCGGGCCCTCTCGATGGAGGTAAAACCCTACTCCTGCTTGATTAATATTGATGATATGGGTAGTACAAGAGTTGATCTACCACGAGATCAGAGAGGCTAAACCCTAGAAGCTAGCCTATGGTATCATTGTTCTTCGTCCTATGGACTAAAACTCTCCGGTTTATATAGACAGCGGAGAGGGCTAGGGTTACACGGAGTCGGTTACAATGGGAGGAGATCTACATATCGTATCGCCAAGCTTGCCTTCCACGCCAAGGAAAGTCCTATCCGGACATGGGACGGAGTCTTCAATCTTGTATCTTCATAGTCCAGGAGTCTGGCCAAAGGTCATAGTCCGGCCTTCCAGACACCCCCTAATCCAGGACTCCCTCAGTAGCCCCTGAACCAGGCTTCAATGACGACGAGTCCGGCGCACAAATTGTCTTCGGCATTGCAAGGCGGGTTCCTCCTCCGAATACTTCATAGAAGATGTTTGAACACAAGGATAGTGCCCGGCTCTGCAAAATAGTTTCCACATACCACCATAGAGAGAATAATATTCGCACAAATCTAATCTGCTGACGTATTCCGTAGCGTGACATCATGCCACAGCCAAGCCTTTATTCGAATCGTCTTACTGTCCAACCTCAGCGTGTTTAGCGAGGCGGTTTTCTTGGCACGTCTTGTCAAAGCAGAGATCGTGTCCCCTTATTCCAGGATTCTCATCAATACGGGCGTGGGTAACTCAACTGCGCCATTAATCATGGCGCTTGGGAGATAAGCGAGTTTTACTAGGCTGGTGGGGGCACATAGTTTTGGCTGCCCATATAAGGGGATAAGAATCCACCCTTTCCATCTACGCCTTCCTCCTCCTTCGCTTCTCCATTCCTGCGCACTCGAGCTCCAGCGCCCAAGCCCGCACTTCCCACCTCAACCTTCTCCAATCATGTTCGGTGTGGGAGGCAAGTGGATGGCCTCCTCCGTCACGGAGGGGAAAATCAAGAAGCTAAGGAAAGCCGGATACTTGTCCAATGACATCGCGCACTGGCTCCCAGATGAGGGGCAGCTCATCCCCACCCCCAGGCCCCATGAGAGGGTCGTGTTTCTCCCCCATTTCCTCCGCGGACTGGGCTTTCCTCTTCACCCATTTGTCCGGGGGCTCATGTTCTACTACGGCCTGGACTTCCACGATCTGGCCCCGAACTTCATCCTCAACATCTCGACGTCTATCGTCGTGTGTGAGGTCTTCCTCCGCATCCAGCCCCACTTCGGCTTATGGCTGAAGACCTTCAATGTCAAGCCGAAGGTTGTGGGCGACCAACAAGCGGAGTGCGGAGGCGCCATGGTGGGCAAGATGGCCAACGTTACATGGCTCGAGGGCTCGTTTGTGGAAACCATCAAAGGGTGGCAATCGGGGTGGTTCTACATCACCGAGACGCGTGACCCTGAATGGGCAGCGGCCCCCGAGTTTCGGTCTGGCATCCCCACGCGGCTCACCTCATGGAAAGAGACGGGCCTGTCGTGGGGTAATCCGGAAGAGGCGACCGGACTCCAAACATGCGTCTAGAACCTGATGGACAAGAAGGTTAAACTCATCAATGTAGTCCAGGTCATGCTCTTCCGCCGGATCCTCCCGTGTCAACGGCGGGCTTTTAATCTGTGGGAATTCGACCCGGCTCAACACCAAACTCTGTCCAGGCTCTTCGACACAACGCACGAAGATGCTTGGAAGGTGCTTTTCAAGAGCTCCGAGGTCCACCCTCCCACTACCGAGGATCGCGGATTCTGCGGGAAGCGCCAAGCCAGCGCGGTAAGCTTAGTTTACCCATTACAGGGTATTTTTTTCATAGTTTGACTATATGCGGGATCTAAACTCCCATTCCTTTAACAGGACTGGCAGAAGAAGGCCGGACAGATCGACTGTCCGGCTCCTTTACCTGAAGACCTAGCAGACGCCCGCCTGACGAAGCTGCTGGTCCCGGCACCCCACGTGGTGCCGGAGAAGAAGGTCAAGAAGAAGGCCACGAGAACTCGAAGGAGCTCCCGGCGACTGGTGGTGTCGGACTCATCGCTCGACGACCCCAAAGCGCACTCCTCCTCTGAAGGCGAGAAGGAGGAAGAAGAAGCCTCTCCCCCTCCAACGGGGGGAGGAAAGAAAAGGAAGGCTGCCCCAACTGGGGAGGCCAGAGGGTCCAAGAAGGGGAAGACCCTTCTTCCGGACTACGCCTCCGACGCCGAAGACGGCGGAGAGGAGTCGCCATCCAAGGCCAAGCCCCTGGCGAAATCGTAAGTATCCG